TAGGTCGATAGCAAAATTTTGGACCAGTTACTGAGACTAGTAGGATGGATTTCCTGATAGATTGCGATGCCAATGTAGATCGATTTTTTGTAAATGTTATACATACGCTACAAGATTACTGTGTACAGCATACGCTGTGTATACAGTAATGTCTCCCTAATTCACGCTCAAATTGTCCACTAAATTGGATAATTTGGGAAGAGGAGATACGATTGTTCGAGCCTCGCAGGTCGTTTTTATATTTCTTGACAATTCGTAACTATGAAAACGAACCGCAAGGCTCGAATAATCGCATCTCCTCTTCCCAAATTGTCCATTTTTCTGGACAATCTGTGCGTCAATTAGAGAGACATTACTGTATTCCCGAGAGCGCAGATTGGTGTAACGGGTTCGCCCTGTGCGACATTCGTTCTGAAAAGGACAAGTCCTAAAAGTGGGAAATTTACGCACCGTTCTACGATATCGCATTAAAGCGACCGCGTGACCGAATGGAAAGGATCGCGAGACGTCTATTAACGGTATTTTTACGTCGTCGGCGATCCCGAAAGCGCGTGAACAGAAAGGCGCAGCCTGCAAGTTACGTTCGCTCGCGGCACCTCCGACGAGCTGCGGCGATCGTTTCTTCCCGCGTCGACTATCTGGCGGGCACTTCCGGTGCGGTGTGACCGTCGCAATAAAACACGAGCCCAGCCACCTGCGGGCCCGACAGAGAGCCCGGTCTCCTCTGCTCGATAACGGAAATACAATGCCGGCTCTGTGTCGCGAGACGCGAGAGACACGCGAGGTAGGTGCGAGATGCTTAGCGTCTCGAGCCGAAAAACCTCGGCCGCCTAGCAGCGCCAGCATGCGCTCCTCTCGAACGGTTTCGTGCCCTTGACGATGGCTGCGAGCTGGGACTAGGTGCTCGCGTAGGTGCGGAGTCGCGGAGCCGCGACCGAGCGGCTGAGCGGCTGAGCAGCGAAACGAGCGAACGAGCGGCACTTTGTGGCCTCGTAAAACAGCGGCAGCCCAGTAAATCTGTGCCCGAGTGTGCCTGCTCCGGCATATCCCCGTTTCACCTCTCTTCCTTTCTTTCCGCGGTCGCACGCTCACCCCCGCGCCCCCACCCCCCCCCCCCCCGCCCGCGCCAACATCCGTATTCGCGTTATCTGTCACACCGAACTCGAAGGAAACCCGCGACACGTTTGATCGTCAAGGACCGCACGCGTGTATCCACGCGAAACATTTAATGATTGATACCAATGTCGCAAAATTCGATACGAGTTTGCCCGATCTGTTCACCTGAACCGCCTGATTCGCAGATTCTGTATTATACTAATATTAGTAGTTTATTTCTTTATTGCAAAAAGTAGACGTTTACCCTTATGTAAAAATAAATTGAATTAGATTAAATAAAATTAAGTTAGATAAAGTTAGATAAAAATTAGAAAAAATAGACTTTTACCCGTATGTAAAAATAAATTGAGTTAGATAAAATAAAATAAAATAAAATAAAATTATATAGAATTATATAAAATTAGATTGAATTAGATTAAATTAGATTAAATTAGATTGAACTAGATTAAATTAGATAGAATTAGATTAAGTTAAGCTAAATGACGTGGAAAGAGTGAAAGACGAATCGTTGCGCAGCTGTAGACAGCGACTGAATAAAAGCGAATAAATAAACAAATAAATGAATGAACTCGCGGCCGTTGTTCGCGGCGCAGGGGACTGGTGTAAAGCGAGAAACAAATGTAACGAGGTACAACCCGCGTCTTACTCGGATGGTGGTAGCTTACCTGATCAAGCGCGCCCAGCTCTCTTACTCTCACCCTCGAGCGAGGCCTTCTTTTTGCTGCGGCCCGTTAGTATGCGCGCGCGACCGCCGTAAAGTAGATGTACAGATCGCGCGTATCTCAGCCAACTAAATTGGAACGAGACGGCCGAGAACCGTGAACCGAGAACCGGGAACCGAGAACCGAGAATGGACGAGAAATGGAAAAAGGGTAAGACGGCGAGATAGAACGGCGAAAAGGACGGAGCGAAATCCGCGGAAACGGGTGTGGAGAACGCGGAGAGAAGGACGGCGCGAACACCCACCGCACCGGTGAAACACCCGGCGGCTTATCCGGCCGGCTATGGCTGCTGCTACGACGGCTACGGCTATCCCACGCGTTCTCGTTCCCGTTCTCGTTCTACTCGGGCCACCGACGCGGCGACGTCTTCATCATCCGTCGGCGGATTCTCGCGGTAACGGAATTCGAATTATCGGGCGGCGCGAGCGCGCGACATTCCGCTCGGCGCGCTCCTCGCCAAGGCTGAGAAGCTACGGAGAGAAGTCTTCCTCGACCGCGGCCGGAACTAATTTAGCGGCGTGCACGAGCCGGCGATCGAATAAAATCGAAAACCGGGGAACAGGTCGGACCGAGTAGCCGAAGGAGCGACCGAGAAGGAAGGTTGCGCGGCGCGGCGCGGTGAAGCGGGAGAGGGTTCGACGGACCAGGAGAGGGTTACTTTAAGGACCTTTCGAGAATCGGTAGCCTCTCTCCGGCGATGTTTTATTTTATCCCTCGCTCCATAAGATCGCATTCTTTACGACCCATTGGACGAATTCATTACCAGCCTCGGGCAATAGGTAGCCGAAGTTCGTAAGCCCCTGTTCCCCCTTTCGCTCGGTCCTCTCTCGCCTCGCGCCGTCTTGCCGTGTTGCGCTTTGCTGCGTTTTGCTTCCTCCCCGCTTTGGATCGTCGCTTCGGTCTCCCGCGGGTAACGATGGTGTCCGGCGCGGTGCGACGATTCGGCTGCGCCGCTTCACGGATGGAAGAGTAAAACGGAACGGCCAGTGTTATACTTTATAACATATATATTTATTTGAGCTTTAATTGCATTTTAAAATACAACCGAAATAATTAAATAATGACAAATCTGGTAAAATGGTTTCAAGAGTCGCGTATACATGATGCATTATCTTTGTGGTTGCGCATTTGTAAGTAGGTAGGTACTTTTCGAGCGTATTTTTCGCACGGTTGGCCATTCGCGTATCGTTTTTTTCTCTCTCTCTCTCTCTCACTCTCTCTCTCTCTTTCTCTCTCTCTCTCTCTCTAGTTTCTGCGAGTGTGTGCACATTCCGCGTTTATTTGTGCGCGTGTATCGATCTTCGCATCCACCACGTAGACCTCGTGTCTCGTTTTCGTCCCACTCTCAGCAGTCGTATAGAATTACAATAATAGTAGTAATATTATCGTTATATCGATAAATACTTTTAAAGTCCGCGATGGAAGAATTAGAGTTTACAAGAAATACGTATACAAGTGTGTTCCGTTTCAGATTCGGGCTCCCTCGTCCTCGAACGCGCGCAATCATCGTTCCTCGGCTCGGTATTCCTCTCGCTCGATTCGACTCGGATGCGCTTTTCTCCTGCACTCTTCAGCGCGCAACCAAACTCGCTTTCGCGCGTCTTCTCGCCCCGTTCCCGGCCCCGTTCCGTCGCTGCATTCGCTCTTGCTCCCTCGCTCTCGCCCCGCTCTCTCACGCTCTCTCTCTCTCGCTCTCTCACATTCTTTCTCGCTCTCTCTCTCTCTCTCTCGCTCCGTTTCTGGCGCCCTTTCGCGATCATCCGGCGCGCTCTCGTCGACGCAGCTTTCGGCACTCGCACGTACGCAACCATGCAGCAAGCACTCGGACGGACGGACGGACGGGCGACCGGACAAACGGGACGGATCGACGCGCTTCTGCTCGTCGTCGTCAAGTACACACGCACGCAGATGCAAGACTATTCGCTTCGGTGATTGTTCGCGCCCCGACACGCTCCCTGGGTTGCGATCGACTTTCGGTACGCGCCGCGATTTCAAAATTTCTTCTTTTTTTCTTTTGTTGTTGTTGTTGTTGTTGTTGTTGTTGCTCCTCCACGCATTATCGTCCGCGTCGTTTTCTACTCGTGGCATAGATTTCGATCGTAATTGTAATCAATGTACACGGTGCCGTTCGCGATAATTCGAGCGTATAATAATGAGAGTATTTTACACTTAAAATGTCGCGTCTGCTCGCGCGACGCAATAAATAGTATCTCGAAGAAAGAAAAATTTACAATGGTCTACTCGCGCGCTACGAGTGAAGGAAAACGATATTGTTCGAGGACGTCGCGTCGCGCGCGCCCGACTCGCCCCGGCCCGCCCTGACCCGCGCGCGTTCCGAGCAACCGCGAGCCTCGCTATTGCACCGTATCTCGTTGCTTCTCGACCAAACAGTATCCCCGTCGAATCTTTTCCGCTCGTTATCCCGCGCCGGTTCTCTCCGGCTCTCTGGCTCGCCGGCTCACCGACTTCTTCTCTTTCCGCGGAGAATCGACCTCGAACGATCTCACCGGTTTCATCGCAATAAGTATCAACAAAGAGATTCCTATACAAGGGCGGACCCTAGCCTATCCTATGCTGCGCTAATCAACTACGCTCTTACGTTCTAGAGGTATACATGATGATCCGTCCTTACGACAGCCGTCTCGGGTAAGCTTTCCCCTCGTTCGTCCTGGAAAATACTCGCACCCACACCTATCCGCGCCAATTCCCCGACCTTTCGCGTCCTTCGGTTCCTTCTGTTCCCTCGCTCGCTCGTACATTCGCTCATTCGCTCTGCCTCGTTCTCTCTTCCTTTCGCGCTAACATTCTCTCTCTCTCTCTCTCTCTCTCTCTTTCTCTCTCTTTGCCGTTGCTCTCGATGTTGTTATAGCCCCTCTCTGTTCCCGTTCGTTCGTCCCCCACCCCGATGCACCCATTGTTCACGTTCGTCGTCGGCCCGTGGCAGACTCACCCCTTCGTCACCTAATCGGATCGGTTCTCGTTGCACGTCGTAAACGCCCTTAAGTATTTATAAAATCACAAACTTGGCCGCGCGCCGAGCCCCTTGACTCAGCAGTGCCGCGAGATATGGTGGCATCACAATTTAATTAACGCACGTTCGACGTTCGACGTTCGTCCCCTCGTTGAACGGATCGTTCCCCGTTGTTGGCGCACCTCGACTGTCCGCACGGCGACGGGACCCGCGTGAACGAAATGCGACCGAACGCGACCGATCGAAAACGCGACCGGCGATCGGGGTGGGTGGGTGGGGGGCGACTTGCGAACCGTGGAGAATTGCGGCTGCGACTTGCGGCTTGCGACTGCGACGACGAAAGCGGGACAGGAATCGGCGAGAGTAGTCGCGGCGACGGTGTTCGTTCGGACAGTGAGATCGCGAACGCGAGGAATAGGATCGTCGAGGCCGAGGTGTTCGAAGGTCGAAATGTCTCGAACCACTCCGGTGGTCGCTAAGTTTTACAGTCGTTACAGTATAGATACACTTATGTACAAGTGGCACCGCTACTTACGGGGCTCGGACTATACGTATTTGCTGGACAACTGCTTGGCCAGCTCCGTATACTTGAGAAATTTCGAGTGCGGGCTCTCCTCGAGGGGAGAGGCCGCTGACTGAGACGGGCTACCGTTCGCCTGCGAAAGCGGCGGCGACTTGTTGCGCTGAGACGTCGGCGGCGAGGAAGAACTGTGACCGGTCGGCGGCCCCGCGGCGGTGTTCTGAGAGGCCGCGGCCGCCGCAGCGGCGGCTGCCGCAGCCGCGGCCGCCGCGGCGGACCGGCCGATCGTCAACGGGTCCGGGATCACGCCGTCCTTCACGAAGTGCATCTTGGAGAGATGATGCCTGTACGCGCCCTTCGAGATGAACGGCGTGTCGCAGAAGGCGCACTTCATAATCGAGTCGGCGGTGACCACGGCGTCGTTGCAGGCCCAGCTGAAGGCCAAGATGGCGCCCGGCGTGGTTCCGGACCCGGGCCCCGTGGCGCCGACTCCGCCGCCCGCGGCCGACCCCAGGCCCGACGTCGAGCCGGGCCCGCCGGCGGACCTGCCGCTGCCTCCGCTTCCGCCGCTCCCGCCGCCACCGCCTCCGCCGCTGCCGCTGCTGCCGCCACCGCCGCCGCCTCTGGTCTCCGTCTTGTCGCAGAGCTTCTGCAGCGCCGCCAACGGATGGCTGCTGGCTTTGCGGCCGTGCGAGTCGACCGCGCCGCCGGCGTTACCTCCGGGGCCGCCGCCAGCTCCGCCGCCGCCGCTTCCGCCGCCCGACAGGCTGTCGAACATCGAGGAGAGGGCGCCCAGGCTGCTCGAGCCCTTGGTGTCGGGCGTGCCGCGCGGCGTCACCGATCGGTCGCTGCTCGTCGGACTGCTGGTGCTGTTCCTGCAGGGGCTGCGGACCAGCTGCTCCATCTGCCCGGTCGATCTGGGCGTCGGCGGATTTATCCGCGGCGACAGCACCTCGCGGCCGTCCTCCGCGCTCTCGTGTATGCTGCTGCCGCGCCGCGTGTGGTTGAACGAGCTTTGCTCCTCCTCGTCCCTGCAGTCGTCCACGATCTCCTTCTTCACGTACACCTCCCGACCGCTCGGCTGGGCCTGCGACGACGCGTCCTCGTCGCCGGCGGCCCGCTCCTCCGCGTCCTCGTCCTTCGGCTCCTTCTTCACGACCACCGTCGACGAGGCGGTCGACGCGGCCGCGCTGCCCGCCGGCGTCGTCGTCGACGAGCTCGTCGAGCCGCTACCTCCTCCCGATCCTCCGGTGGTGGCGGAAACGGCGCTGGCTGCGGCCGGATCCTCGTCCCCGGACTCTTCCGCGGCCGGATGATGGCGTCCCGCGGTCAAACTCTGAGGAACCAGCTGCTTGTCGGGCGTGACGCGATGGTGATGGGAGGAATGCCTTTCCGAGTGGCCGACCGCGGAGAGATCGAGCCGCCTCTCGGGCGTCATCGCGTCGGTTCGGCCGCCGCTTCCGCGTTCCGACACGGAACTGGACTCGCTTCCGCTGCGTTCCCTTCGCGCCGCCATGCTCGACGAGTAGTGTTGCTGTTGCTGCTGTTGCTGCTGCTGTTGCTGCTGCTGCTGCTGATACGATCGCAGGAGATTCATCGTTTGCGGATCGACCAAGGGTTTCGTGTAGTCGACGCTCTCGTCGATGCCCAGCCGCTTCAGGATGCTGGTGCCCATCGGGGCCCCGGGCTGGGCGTGATGCAGGCCCGGCGCGCCGTGCCTCGCTCGGGAGTCGAAGCTCTTCTCGATCAGCTTCTCGATGGCGTTCAAGACGGACGGTGAGGAAGAACTGCCGGTGGTCTCGTTGCCGGCGGCGGGCGTCGGCGTGTCCTTGCCGGGCGTGGTCGCGTCGCTGGCCGACGACGGGGACCGATGATGCCTCGACGAGGACAACGGCGAGCCGTCCTCGTTCACGCTCTTCCGGCCGCTCTCGGTCGGCGGCAGCGTCGCCGACAAGTGGTTCGACATCAGTGCATTCTTCAGAAAGTTCCGTTGATTCGCGCTGACCGTTCCCGCGCCGATGCACTGCCGAATGTGATCCACGAAGATGGTCGTCTCGATCTTGTCGCCGCACTTCTCGCAGGTGATGCGGCCCGCGTGCTTCCCGAGGCCGTGGCCGAGGCCCGCGGCCGCGTCGCCGTTCTTGAACTCGTTCTGCGCCCGCTCCAGCTCCAACAGCTTCCGCACCGGCAGCGACTTCTTGCGTTTCTCTCGGGTCTGCCGGCGGCGTCCGCCGCTCTCGGTGATCGAGCGCATGATGTGTTCCTTGTAGTGCGAGTTCTTCACCATGTGGTTGCTGAGCTCCTTCAGCGAGCTGAACGCTTGGTCGCAGACCTTGCAAGTCAACACCGCGCTCACGTGGCTGCTGGCCGCGCCGGACCCAGGAGCTCCGGTGGAGCCCGCGTGAGGCCCGGTGGCGCCGGCGTTCCCGCCGGGGACCGCGGTCCCGCCGCCTCCGCCGCCTGCCACGGCCCCGCTTCCGCTGCCGCCGCCGCTGCCACCGCCGCCGCTTCCTCCGCCGCCGCCCTTGTTCTCGTCCGAGGACTTCCACGAGATGATCTGCTCCTGCGAGATGATGTTGGTGTAGTGCTGCGTCTGCTGCATGTGCGAGGTCATCTCGGCGAGGGAGCGGAAGCTCTGGCCGCACCACATGCACTTGAGAATCTGCCTGGTCTGCTCGGCCCCTTTGCCCAGCCAGACGTCCTGCCCGCGGACCAACTTCCTCGGCAACGGCATCGTCTCCTTGATCAACAGATTCAACTCCGACGGGCTCTGCTTGCTGCTCGGCGTCGCGGAGCCACCGGCCCCGGGGCCGGCGCCCGCGTTGCTCGCCGACGTCGTCTGAGGCTGATGGGGCGGCTGGGGTGTCGGGATGCTCGGCAGGTTGCTCTGCTGCGGGTGAAGAGCGGACCCGGACGGCGGCACGGGCATGTTGACGCCGCAGTGTTTCGCCTCCTTCATGTGCGTGGTCATCGCGGCCAGCGTGGGGAAACTTTGCTTGCACCAGACGCACTTGAGCACGTCCTTCGCCTGATCGGCGCCCTTGTTCAGCCAATGGGACTGCCACGCGCTGTGCCGGCTGCCGGACGTCGAGCCGGACGCGCTCCCGGCCCCGCCGGCCCCGCTGCCGCCGCCGCCGGCCCCGCCGGCCCCGGAACCTCCGCCCGTCCCGGTGCCGGACGCCGATCTGAAGAGGTCCTCGCCGCCCAGCTTGCTCAGCTCGCTCATCTTCTCGAGCGCCTTGGTCGCCTCGCTGGGCTGGTACTTGTTCTCCAACGCTGACGGCGCCTTGATCTTGCCGTTCCAAATCTGATGGTGGTCGACCACCACGCCGGCGGTGCTCTTCGGCGAGAGTTGCTGCTGACTAGTGGCGGCCGCCGCGACCGCCGCCGCGAAATACGGGAAATGCGAGGCGACCACGGGCGACGTCCACGGCGACACGACCGGAGGCCTGCCGAAACCGGCGGCCGCCGCAGCCGCCACGGCCTGCGCGGGGTCTTGGTGTGCGGCGGTGGCGGCCGCGACCGCAGCCGCCGCGGCTGCCGCGGCGGACCCGGAGGCCAGTCGGGACGACTTGCGTACGGGCGGTGGCGGCGAGTCTTCCGGGCCCGGTCGTTTCCTGCTCGGCACCGAGAGATCCAGGGGCCCGTTGTTCGTCTCCGTCGAGGAGGAGGGGGTCGGCGGCTTGCTCAGGTTCAGGATCTGCTCCTCCTCGTCGTCCTCCGTCGACGAGGCCTTCCTCGTGCTGAAGTCGAGGACAGCGGGCAACGGCGTGGCGGAAGGCGAGACCTCGCCGACGCTGCTCGGCGAGACCAGGAGGCCCGGGGTGGCGGCCGGCGGCGAACACGAGGACGAGACCAGCGGCGACACCGAGCCCCGGGACAGGGGCGAGTGGCCGAGCAGCAGCCTCTGGTGAGTTTGTTGCAAGTACGCCGCCATCATGGCCGCGGAATGCGGCGGCAGCAGGGGGTGACCGCCGAGCGGAAGGGGTACGATGCCGCTCGGGCTGACCGGACTCGCGCTGCTCCTCGTTGCTGGCGGCGGTGGGCTACCAGTCGCCGGACCGGACGATTCCCGTGAATCTCGAGAAGGGCAGCGCGGACTCATCGGTTCTCTGAAACATCAAGCAGACCGGGGAGCCGGTTACACCGCGTGCCTCGTCAACCGATTTACGCGTGCGCGCGCGCGCGATTGCGATCACGATCACGATATCACGGTCACGATCACGATCGCGGCGTTTCGTCGGTGTCGGCGCGACCGATCTCCGATCGTAAACGGAAAAACGTGGCGCGAGTAATCGATGATACCTGTAAGAGGCGCGCGAACGCGTGGCGTACGCTATCCGTCATTCCGGTGCGCGAGCCGCCGCCGCCGAGCTCGGCGTGGTTACGGTCGTCGATTCGAAAACGGCGCGCGGCGAGGCCAACTCCGGGCTGGAGTAGGTTGTGCAGGCGTGCCGACGGCTCGCTCGTAACTGACTGCTCCTGACTGAATGCCGAATGCCGAATGCGTGCCGCGAGATGAAAGGGGAGCAGCGGCACGCATGCAGGGGAAGTTTTCGGGGTCAGGCGGGGCGCCGCGAGGTTCGGAGGCGCCACTGACGCAGCCCGTGGCACACGCACGTCCCACACCGGCACGTGGACCTGCACACACGCACCGATACGCGCGTCGCGACCGCCCCCGCGGCGAGCGACGATGCGGCAAAGCGGTGCCGAGCGTTCGCGAAGCGGTGTCACCGAGGACGCGCGTCGGAGCTGGTGGGATCGCCGGGCCGGTCGGCGGTCGTCGCGACGGTCAACGCGCGGCGGTGGCCAGCCGCCGGTCGTCGGGTGCCGGTCGTCGACGGTGCGGCCCGACGGGAGCGACGCGTAACACGTGCCTATCTCTATTAGCCGTGTGACGTCGCACGGCAGTCACCGATATCAGTCTGGCACCGGCTTGTTTATCCCCTCGTCTCTCTCTTACCCACCCGACTTCCCTGTTATCCCGTGCCCTCGCGCGTTTTCGCCGCGATTCCCTCTCCCTTTATCGCCTCGCGTCCCTTCCCCGTTTCCCTTCGCAGGCATTTAACACTGTTTGCCGCGTCTCGCTCGTTCACGAGCCGCCCCGCGCGTACGTCCCCGCTCGTTCCCGCGCCGCCGCGATCCGCACGACACCGGCTCCGCTCCGCTCCGCGGCACGGATCCGTGACGATTCGTTGCGCTCAAACAACGAGAACGCCGGTGCGGGTACATACACGGAGCTCATCCGACGTCGGCGACTTCAAAGAGAACGGCAGCATCGGTCCCGTTGATTTAGGCGGTTTACGACGAAGCCCCGAGAGTAAAGCACCGGCTAATGAGTTTTAAGGGAATCGTGCGCGTCGAAATTTACGTTTTTACTTTCGACGGCCTCGCCCCGTGCGTCTCGTTCTTCCCGACTCGCTTACCACACGGTTTCTCTCCTTCTCGTTTTCCGCCGTTTCGACGATTCCGTTCGCAACGTTCCCGCGTCCTCTCTCTCTCTCTCTTTCTCTCTCTCTCGCGCGCGCGACGGCATCGACGATTTTCTCGCGAACTCTCAGAGAGTCCCATTTACCTGTCCGGGGGTCCGGTGTCCCTCAAAATCGTAGGATTCAATCGTGCTGTAGCGGATGGCGGTGGAGTGGGTGGCGTAACATCCTCGTCGTCTTCGTCGTCGGTCGCGTCGCCGTCCTCGGTCTCTTTGGCTGCTGCCGCGCAAACCCTCTCGCTGGGGCTGATCGGCCCGTCATCCTCCGCGCAATCGCCCTCCTCGCCCTGGAGGTCGGCGGCCAGCCCTGGCCCAGAGCCTTCGACTCCGTCCTCCCCTGGAATCAAAATAGCCCGCGGTTAGTCGAGCCGATTTCACCGAAACCGACGAAACGACCGGGAGAATATTCGGAAACGAACGCGCGCGCCGCGATCGGCCCGGAACAATGCCGTTATCTGTTCATTAATCTGCCTCTTTCGCCCGACATAGACAACGTCGACGGCGACGACAGGATCGACGACGTCTGGGTCGCGAGACGCCGTCGCGGTCTCCCCGTTTCTCTCGCGAGACGTTCGGAGATCGTGCGCTTTCCCTTCCCGAATCCCGTCGCACACTCTCCGCGGTCGCTTCAATTGCTCGAATCGCTTAATTGGTGACTGTAACCTTTTTTGCGACGCGCGAGACTTTCGTAATAGCTCCTCCGCCACGTTCGAAACCTCCGCTGCCCGCTGCGGTTCACGACTCTTTTTAATTGAGCTGGTTTTGATCTTTATCCGGCTCTTAATCTGCTACCGATTCTTTGAATCATTTTCACTTCTTTGTCTTGCACATAGCAAAGAGAAACTATATGCATATTAAATGATAAACTATACGCCGAATAAATCAATAACCTTGACACTTTCAACCCCTTCGACCGCCGGCGCACGTCGATTCGACGACGTCTTATCGCTGGGCGAAACGAGCTGCGAACGTATTGGACACCGGGTAGAAGGTTAACCCATTGACTGGCACGCAAATTTAGCGCGTCTTGCCCTGGGTGCCACGGTTTTATTTTAAAGAAAACACGAAGTTTTACAAAATATAATAATATTATATCTGTCTCTTATACACATCTAGATGTGTATAAGAGACAGGGTAGAAGGTTAACCCATTGACTGGCACGCAAATTTAGCGCGTCTTGCCCTGGGTGCCACGGTTTTATTTTAAAGAAAACACGAAGTTTTACAAAATATAATAATATTATATATATAATATTGCATTATATAATATTGCGATATAATATTGCAATGGCATTTACAGTATTTTTTTTATTGATAATCAATATGTTCTGTACACTATATACATTTTTCATTCATCCTTTCTAATAGTTCCTAACTCAGATAGCCATTTGTAGCCAATCTAAACTTGCAGCACCCACTGCGAGATATCTCGTAGCTAGCAGTTTTGTTACAGACGCTTACTACGAGATATCTCGTAGTTGGCAGTCAATGGGTGAACGCGTGTCCCGACCGCGACGTCGTCGACGTCGGTTCGCACCCTCGCAGGGTGAACAACGCGTGGACGAATGGCGAACGGCTCGGCGACGGGGATGGTTCCGGCCGGCGCGGCTTAGCCACGAGCCGCGTGCCACGTCGCCATCTTGTTCGGGCGAGACGAAAGGCCGTGGATGCCGATCTTTGGCCAAGGAAAACGAAAGAGGCGGAAAGGAACCCGCACACCTCCCTTTCGAGAGGGTGGGGACAAGCGGTTCCCGGAGCACCGTCCTACTTTGCCGACTGGCCAACCAAACGATCGTTTGTTCGCCGATGGGTCGCAGAACGAGGAGGGAAAAGAGATCGCGCATCGATCCGCGGAGGCATCGGCAACTAATTACGCAGATTTATGTCCCCATTGTCCATTGTCTCTCTCGAGCGGAGCGCGTCCCTCCGAAGCCCTGCGCGACCGTGAACGATCCGATGCCAGGGAAGCTGCGCGCCGAACAGAACCGAGCCGAGCCGAGCCGGGTTGGGCCGGGTCGGGTCGGGCCGGGTCGAGTCGAGTCGAATCGAGTCGCATCGAGTCGAGTCGAGTCGAAGCGGGAACGAGAGGCGTTCGAGGAAGAATCGACCAACGATCGCGAAGACGGCAACGTCGACGCTCAGAACGAGGAAGAGGACGACAAACCCCCGAGACAAAAGGAACGATTCGAGAACGACGCGGAATCGAGAGCCTGCACCCAGAGTGCAGGAGGGATACGCGAGGAACCGAGGGCCAGGGCGGACCACCGGAGGACTGCTCCGCCCGTTCCGAACCGAGGATCCTCGATCTCTGTTCCCCATTTCGTCCTGTCGCGTCCGTTTTCGTCCGTTCCACACTCTTTCTTTCTCTCTCTCTCTCTCTCTCGCTCTCTTTCTCTTTTTCTCCCTTCTCGTGTCACATCCTTTCGCTTCGTTTTGCTAGGCGCGCGTCGTTCGCGCCTTTCCCTTCCCCCTTTCCGGTGCCTCACCCCTGGGTTTCGTCTTTCTCGGCGGACGTATCGCGGAGAGGAGAACAGACGGCCGAGCAAATTAGCGCCAGATCGGAATGAAAAGGAGGAGAACGGAGCAGCGGCTAAAAGCGCGGCTCTCGAAAACGACCCGGAGCCATCGACAGCGACTTTTTCGGGCAACGTCGGCCGGTGCGAGAAAGCCTCTCGACGGGTCCATTCGTCGTGGACGAGTCCGCGGTAACGAGTTTCGTTCGTCTCGAACCCGGCCGGAGATTAGCGCGTTCCCGATGCTCGCTCGTGACTCGGCCGCGAGGCAGACTATCGTCTCGTAAATTTTAATACGCCCGAGAGGTTTGCGGTAGCGGCGAGTCTCGTCTTGTGTCCCGTGCCCGTCCCCGTCTAAATTTATGCGCCATCGGCGCGTTAAATCGGCCGCGTTTGCCAACAATTAAACTCGTTGTTGCGCACGAGGCGTCTCGGCCGCGTTGCGAAAATTCAAGGCGAGCCGCGTACGCTTTAATTGTTTGCTGGGCAAATTCAGATAACGGTATGATTTTCTTTTCGCGGCGTTAGACGGGCCGCTATCTGCGCCGCGACGTTCGGCCGTCGACGACCGTTCAAGATTTCGACTAATCCGCGCTACCGAACGCCGTTCATTTATTTAGTTGGTTATTTGCGAACGGGATCCGCGCGAAAGAAGATACTCCTGCGAGAGAGAGAGAGAGAGAGAGAGAGAGAAAGAGAGAGGAGGACGCCGAATAATTTGCTCGGCCGCATCGCGACGATGCCGGTGCAGTCACGGTCCGGTCTATGACGAACGGGTGCACACCAGACTTATAAGCCGGGACCGGCCCCGGGGGGCGGGGCGGAGGAGGGTATCGGGGAATCGAGGAATCGGGGAGGAAAAGCGGAAAAGCTGGAAAACAAACGTGCACGGGAATCAAGTGCGAGACAGAAGGCAGGAAGGAGCGGCGACGAGAGGGAAAGGAACAAAAGGAGCAACGGAGGAGGACAAGGCAGGACAGGATAGGAGAGGAGATGAATTCCTGATGCGAGAACCGTCGGGAGGCTGGCGAGGAGAGTGACAGGAGGCAGACGAAGAGACGAACGGATGGACAGGCAGGCAGCCGTACGGACGGACGGATGGACGGACGGACGGGCGGACGGACGAGCGTGCGAGCGAGCGAGCGAGCGAGCTAACCGGCTAGAACGACGAAGAGAGGCGAAGAGCAAAGGGAGGCTCCGCATTGTGATTCTCTCGCGGTCTGCCAGAGTGTGACTGACGGGTGAATCCATTCTCCTTCCTCCGTCCTTCTTTCTGCCTTTCCCTCGTACTCCCTCTCGCATCCCTCTCGCCCCGGCGCTGCTTCTTCCTCTCGAAGCAACCGGCTCTCGAATCCACGACGCTCGGCCTCGAAAAGATCGTTCCGAGCGCGTCCGCGCGCGCCGAGCACTCCTCTCTCGATCTCGACGATCTCGAGATTCGGCCGCGATCCGTAGACCTCGCGGATCGACGTTTCCGCGACCTAGGAGACGAACCCGAGCGCGACGTCGGCCCCGTCGACGAAGGCGACGCCGATGATCCCGAACGGAGCGAGTCGTTCGACGCGCGCGGCGTCGATGCGAATGTTTACGATTCGGGCCTCCGGACCGCTCTCTCTCTCTCTCTCTCTCTCTCTCTCTCTCTCTTGCCTCCTTGTTCTCGTGCGGCTCGGCCGGCTTCTTCTTTTTCGAATCGCTTTGTCTTCCGAACCGAAACGTCGGGTGGTCGTATTCGTGAGTCACTTAGCCGTCCGAACGAGACGACAGGACAGGACCGAACCGAAGACGGAGCACCGACCTACGATAGTCTACCTGACTGATTGACCGATGAGGCGACTGTTATCCTAAGTCAACACTCACTCCATCAGCCTGTCGAATCGCTCCCCCATTCTTCGAGCCACGCCACGTTCCATCGTTCTCGTTCCCGTTCCCGCTCTCCTTTCCGTCCGAACGGTCTCCGGACTTCGGACTGCGGACCACTGCCTACGCCTCGCGATTCCACCTCTGCATAAAAAACGCGTCGCCCGGCCCGCGGATGCCCGACCGACGATTCTTCACCGATGCTTCTCCCCGGCGTGTTCACGATTGAGACGTTCGAGACCTTTGGGTCGGTTTGGGCGCTCTTTCTCTCGCTGGTTGCGGCCCACCGACCATAAGGACGGGGCCCGCGTTTCGGCTTATGGTCGAGGAAAGGGTGCTACCAAAGAAGTTCTGCGTGATCTAGACTGTCCGCCATCTTGGTGTGCTAAAGCAACGTTTGCTGCCACGTTTCTTAGAATCCGTGTCTGAACGGTAATCGAACCGCGAAATTTTAGACTGTTGTAAAATAACAAACTCCAAAATCTTGGCATGATCTAAAAGATTGCTTTGTCCTCCAGGTTAGCTGTAAAGTGCGACACTAGTGTGGCCTACGGAGATAATAATAATAATAATAATTGTAACATTATTTATCGACAGGATAAGCCCTTTGTTGCAATGGGAGGAGGTAACAACGATGTAGCAGCCACGCGAAAAAAGAGAAGAAGAAAGATGACGAGGCAGACATTACTGTATATACAGCGTATGCTACAGTAATCTTGTAGCGTATGTATAACATTCACAAAAAATTGATCTACACTGGCATCCCAATCTATCAGGAAATCCATCCTACTAGTCTCAGTAACTGGTCCAAAATTTTGCTATCGACCTAGGTGGACCAGTTACTGAGACTAGTAGGATGGATTTCCGGACATATCCCAAAAATCCGGAAAATGAATTCCACTAGTCTCAGTAACTGGTCCAAAATTTTGTTATCGACCTAAGTGGACCAGTTACTGAGACTAGTGGAA